AAAGAGGGTGTCACCCACGCTGCACCTGGGCTGGGACCAGTAGGTCATGCCAGCAGAGGGTAGCCGGAAGGTCTCCCACACACTCACCGTGCCTGGGCTAGGACTGGATCTAGGGGTTCCTGGAATGCGGCAGAAAGTCCTACTGGGCAGCCAGGTTAGGGGAGGTGCTACGGAGTGGTAGGTGTTGTCCCAAGGGGGTGGAAGAGGGTCTCACCCATGCTGCGCCTGGGCTGGGACCAGTAGGTCCCGCTGGCGCAGGGTAGCCAGAAGCTCTTCCACACACTCACCTGACCTGGGCTAGGACTGGGTCTGGGGTTTCCAGGAATGCGGCAGAGATTCCTACTCTGTGGGCAGGGTAGGGGAGGTACTGCGGAGTGGTGGGGCACATCCCAAGGGGATGGAAGAGTGTCTCACCCATGCTGTGCCTGGGCTGGAACCATTAGGTCCCGCTGGTGCAGGGTAGCCGGAAGCTCTTCCACACACTCATTGGGCCTGTGCTAGGACTGGGTCTGGGGGTTCCCGGAACACGGCCTACTTTATTTCTTGACAGAGGTGATACAAGGTTAATGCATCTTTCTGTGTGAATTTATGTGTGCATGCATGTATATATTTTATTAGCTTTTCAAAAGTTACATAATTTAAGAGACTATGTTCATGGTTAACATCATTTAACATAGTGACATAAAAATAATGTAAAAATGTTTTTGAGAATGTTTTCTTTCATCTGTTACAATCTACTGTATTCTTGTCCCCTGTGGGAAATTATTAACATTTTTTTGTGTGTCATTACTGGATTCACTTTTGTTATAGAGCCTAGTAGGCTAGATCAGGTTCCTAATTCCAGGGCTTAACAAAAAAAAGGCCCTTGTTTGGAAAATAAACTTATGATCTATGCTTTAGGAATTGTACTACTTTAGGCTATGAAATTCTTACCTGGTGAATTTGTTAGGGAAGCTTTCTAGCTACAGATACTAGAAACTGTCTACACACTGAGGGTTGAATTTATGTTTTACAACAAGACTTCAGGGATCCCTGCCCATTCTGAGCTCAGTCAGCAATCTTGATGTGGTGGCAACAACTGTTATGCATTGTGAATAGCCAAATTCTCCTGATTGAATTTTCTGAGAGATGGGTGCTAAGGATTTTTAGCAAGTGCACTGTGCCTTTCTTTAAGAAGAAATAACATTTTCCAGGTCTTTTATCTTTGGCCACTATAAAGATAAATTAGTGAAATTAGGGATTTTTTTACACTGGTATGTTGTTGCCAATGAAATTTGGGTTAGTAGTAGTGAAAAAAAATGTGCACTGTCAGTTAAATACCCTGTGGGGAGGGGGTCAGGCATATAGCTCAGCAGCATAAGCACCTGCCTGGCAAGTGCAAGGTCCTGAGTATGATCCCTGGTACCGCAAAAAACAAAACAAAACAAAAAATCTCCCAGTAGGTGTGAAGGAAGAGTGGAGACTAGTGACTAATGGTTCTCACTATATCCTGACTATAATCTTGGAAAAAAAGGCCAAACACTCTGAGCTTCAGTTTCTGCATCTGGGTGGACATAGTACTGTGTGCTTCACTGGTTATTATGACTATGGTAACAAGGTGGTTCAGATGCTTACAGTTAGTAGGTGTTTATTATGGCAGCAATTGGTGTTATTTCTGTCAGTCAAAAGAACTACAGAATGGGAGAGCCTGGCCCCTGTTCGTCTGTGGAGCAGAATAACTTCCTGAGATTAAGAAACTAAGCATTCTTAGCCATATTATTATTTCATTAATGCTTAAGAGGGTTCTTTTTTATGCAGATGGACAAAATATCCCAAAATGTTTCTTGAAAATTTATAAAACACTGCCTTGTAAAAGAAATTAGCACACATCTTTTTGTAATATGATCATCTTCTGATGCAACTTCAAAGTATT